CACAAGGAGTCCTTGAAGCCTAACAACCCAGAGGTACAGAGAATATTGTCCAAGCAAGCTAGGTAGTTAGAAAATCTCAGAAAGTTGTCATAAAGAGTCCATGAGTTCCCCAAACAAGAGGTGCCATGTTGTTAGGTACTGTTGAATTGGGACCACACTCACAGACCCTGTATAAGGTTTTCAAGGAGCAGCTGGTGGGTTTGAACCACCAACCTTGTAATTAGCAGTCTAATGCTTATCTTATAGCACCACATCAGGACTCCAGGCTCCATATAGAATAGAAATCTGAGTATCAGAAATTTGCCTCTCATGTCTAATTTCTTATGATGCTAGTGGACATTGATTGTGGTAAACTAATGGAGAATGACACATGGCACACAGAAAACCACAGAAGTGCAGAGTGGACAGGACAGCACATTCTAGGAAAGGGGTCTTCAGGGAAAAGGGATAAATCAGGTCTCAGCATTTGAAGAAAGAAAATAAGAACTAGCTCAAAACAAGTAGCCAATCAGATAAAGGACCTTGTCATTTTCATTTGTTGTTTAAGTGCCATGAAGTCTGTTCCGTCTTACAGCAACCCAACATAGGATTTCTGAGGCACTAAATCTTTACAGGAGCAGAAAGCCTCATCTTCCTCCCATGGAGCAGGTGGTGGGTTTGAACCTCCGACATTGCAGTTGGCAGTCCAGTTTATCCAGTGTTTACTTAAAATTATGTAACTTAAATTTAGGCAAGTTGCCCCAAAATTAAAATAAGTAATATCATAGTACCCCCTTCTCTTAGCTTTCAACTGGAAGAAAAGTGTCTTTATTAGATGGAAAACTGTACTTCCGCATGCAGAACAAAATAGGATGTCCTGTGCCTCACATCATACACAAAAACAAACTCAATGACAAACAGATTACAGACCTACATGTGCAAATGAAAACCATAAAATCCTTAGCAGAAAAGGGCAAGCTGTAAGGCCTAGAACGGATTATCTAATAGAATAGGAAAAACACACAATAAAAGACAGAATAAATAAATAAATGAGACCTCATAAAAATTTTAAATGTTTGCTCATCAAAAGGTTTTTTTTTTTTTTTTTTTAAGTGAGGTCAAGCCACAGATTAGGAAAATACAAGAATTTAGAAACCAAAAAATACATTAAACTTTGACAACAAAAAGACAAAAATGCCAATCATAAAACAAAAGGACTTGAACATACATGTCACTAAAAGAGGACACTCAAATGGCCACCGAACCACAATGCATTATCATTCCACTTTGGATGACTGTGTGCTGTGAAGTCAGTTCTGACTCATAGTGACGCTGTGTAGGGTTTACGAGAGCAAAAAGCCTCATCTTTCTCCCACAAGGTGGCTGGTGGACTCTGTTGACCTTGCGGGTTCACAGTCCAACGCAAAACCCACTGTGCCACCAGGTCTCCTTTCATTCTAGGATGTTGTTGTTAAGTGCTGCCAAGTCAGTTCCGACCCATAGCGACCCTGTATAGGGTTTCCGAGGAGTGGCTGGTAAGCTTGAACCACCAACCCTGCGTTCAAACCAATTTTACAGTCCAGGGCATTAACCTACAGCACCACACCATAAGGTTGCTTTGAACCATAAGGTCAGTGGTCTAGCTCACCAGCTGTTCCTTGGAAACACTATACAGGGTCGCTATGGGTCGGAACCGACTGGATGGTACTTAATTCTTTGAAACAAAAATTTAGAAAAAGAAATTAGGATGAAATTGCAGAAATCTGCTAAAAGGAAAGGGGATAAAGCTGGTTTAAAAAAAAAAAAAAAAAAAAATTAACCCACTTCCCAAAAGTTGATTCTGACTCCTAAGGACTAGGTATAAAGTCCCCCAGGCTGTAAAATGTACACAGGAGCAGAGATTCACCTTGTTCCTGAAGAGTGGCTGGTTGTGGTTTGAACTGTCCACTTTATGGTTAAGCAGTCCAGAGCATACCTACAGCTCCAGGACTCCTTAGTAAAATCAGCTACTCCCCTTTGTAGTTTCCAGGTGAATATTAAATTATAATAACAAATACTAATTACCATCAAATTAAAATTTGTCCATGTATGTGAGTATGAAGACGAGGGCTCATATTTATGTGTGCAATGGGGCTTCAAAAAGTTCTTGGAAGAGTGGAGTTAAAAGATAATGGAATTTCCCCAAACACTTTTAAAGAGAGAAAATGAAATTCTCATTTTCCAAAACAGAAGGTAAATGATATTTGAAGGTGACATTAAAAACAGCAGAAGCATGAAATGAAAAAATCAGCAACAGTTCTCAGAATTAAGAGTTTCTCATGTCTAGGAAGCAGGGTTAAATGTCAGAAAGAAAACATTTTAATGAGGCAGAGTTCTTGACTGAACTGCGTTACTCTATTTGATGATATTTTCAAATAAAAAAAAAATAAAATGCAGGAGAAAACTGTAAGATCAGAAAGAAATCATGGCTATGTATAAAATGTTATTAAAAGGAATGCAATGCACAGCATTTTAATGGTAAAAATATCATAAATTAACTAAATGTCCAAAGATAACCGATTAGAAAATTATGGTCCATCCATGATGAAGGTAAGAGTTCTGGTGAGGCGCTGTGGGCTAGTGTGCTGAACTGCAAAGCCGCTTTGAACCACAAGGTCAGCGGTTCAAGCTTACCATAAGCTACTCCTCGAAAACGCTATACAGGGTAGCTATGGGTGGGAACTGACTTGACGGCACTTAACAACAACAATGATGAAGATAACATCTTCAAAAAACAGAAAGTTCAATGATATAAGACAGTAAATGCTATACTTCAAAAAGATATGGGAAAAATCCTCTTTTAATTTCATTTACCCAGGAAATTTTTGAGGCTCCCTCATATAGTATTTACTTTCTTAAGGTCTGATGCAGATATCTGTAAAAAACATAAATATGTATGTTTGTATAGAAAAAAGTTAAGTATAACAAGGGATCAATTAATAAAGAATATGTGTAACTTATTTAAAAAAAAAAAAGCTGTTTAACTATCATCTTCCTTGTGTTTTCATACATTTTCCAAATATTTTACCAAGAACATATTGCTACTTTAGCGAGCTAACAAGAGTCATCAAACACATACACTGATTATTTCTGAGAGATGGAATTGTGGAAGATCTTTACTTTCTAGTGATATTGTTACTCATTCACAATATGTCCATTTGTACCCAAGACAATGTTAGGTGTTCAGTACTTTGTTTTGGTTATCTTGCTGGACACACAGTATCACCACATTCTACACACACGATCATCACATTCCCAGCTCCCTAGCCATTTAGGTAGGGTCATGTGGCTGCGTCCTGGCCAGTGAACGTGGGAACAGTGATGTGTGTGTGTCAGGACTACAGCCTAAGAAACCCTCTGCTGGCTCCACTAGTCCTCCCCCACCCCTTCCACAGCATCTGGAGACTCCATTCACACTAAGACCAGAGTGTGACGGAAGCAAGCACACTTCTACTGCGTGAAGCCTCTGAGACTTCAAAATCAGTAGGAAAATACAAATTAAGATGCTCATTTCAAAATACAGACCTATAATAGTGAGGATGTGTCAAGTGAAGTCATCAAGATGGCAGAGGGCATACACGATCCTCCGTGACCTTCACAGCCTACAAATCTCACTTTTCCTCCTACCTGTTCCCAGAGTACCCATCGATGTCCTACCAAACTTGTCACATGTACAATTTGCATTGCTAGACTGAATCTCCAGATTATCTCCACTGAATGCTATGTGCCAGACACATAGATGGTGCTCAAGGATTTGCTGAATGAATAATGTGCTCCTAAATATTCATAACCAAAACCCCCTTTGCTATCTAGTCGGTTCTGACTCATAGTGACCCTGTAGGACAGAGTACACTGTTCCTCAGAAGTTTCCAGATTGTGAATCTTTATGAAACCAGACTGCCGCATCTTTCCTCCCACAGAACAGCTGGTGGGTTCCAGCTGGGACTTTTCTGTCAGCAGCCCAACACCTAACCCACTGCTTCTTAAGATATTCACAGCCCCCTGAAAAATCATGAAATCTTAAGTGCCTGAAGGGTAGAAGAAAGCCGTTCTCAGTTTATCAGAGTACATCCTCTTCTAAAACGCATTCTCCATCCCTGAATGTCTTGACTAGTTGATCTAACACTCTTAAATAATATCCTTTAAGATTGACATTGGTTTCTAGGCCAAATCTTTTATGGATCTGAGGCATGTTTTAAGATTCTGACTTTTTAAAGTCAGAGTTTAAATTTTTTTGTCTCAGGAATTTGCAGAGTATTCACTTCTCAGCGCTTTAAAATGGTAGTACGCATAATTATTTTGGATAGGAAGCAAACAGACACATCACTACTATAACTTGAGGGGGATATTCTCAGAAAAGCACTAAATTTAATGCTACTTGGAAATGCAAGGCTTTATTATGTACAAAGGAGTCCTGGTGTGGTACTGTTAATATAAGCACTGGACTGCTAACCTCAAAGTTGGCAGTTCAAATCCACCAGCCACTCCTTGGAAACCCAATACAGGGTCGCTTTGAACAGGAACCGTCTTGACAACATTTAGCAACAACAACAAAGTACG